AACTTTTCTATTATCTTATATTAGTAAGTTTTATTTAAAATAGATTTAGATTATTATTTCCTAGGATTCTTAAGTATATTAAGAAGTAAAAATCCATTTAACCTAAAGACTAATATTACTAAATATCTATATTTAATATATATAGTATATTACACCGGATATAAAAGCTAGCAGGAGATTTAGTCTTTTTATATTAAAGGGCTTTATAATAGTTAAGGATACTATCTCTATAGGGAAACTAAGTTACTAGGCCAAGATCAGGACAGGATATACTATAATAGGTGCCTTACTAGCACCAGAGAATAAGGAAAACTCGCTAAGTATTTAAAGAAATAGATTATAGGATTACTTAATGAGATACTTAGCAACCTTTCGCCACTCCTAGGCCAACCATTCACTTTCCATCAAGACACGCCTATTAGCCAACTTCCTGAAGCTGGAGATATGGAGTCAAGAGTACTCCTTCTTCTTGAGCAGATGCCGTTGTTTAACGCAGATAACAACTTGAACATATCACGTGAAGCTCTTGACCTTATCAACACACGTCGCATTAATTGGAAAGATCACTTGGATCGAGCGAAAGAGAACGATGCTGAGAAATCGCTACCTCAGGTTCTTGGTCAATTTTACGACAAATGGGTCCGTTATTCAGATGCAATCGAAAGGGAATATAAGTGGTTGGTAGGTTCCAAAAAGGAGATTGAAGATAACCCCGAGCTTCTGGTTGATTGGGCTCTTGAGAGAGATGGGGCTGCATTTACGTAAACTAGAATGATTCTTTCTACAAGCCATTCTCACATTCGAATATAGAATTCACTGGCAAGTTAGGTACGCAGTTTATATTAGGTTATAGCCATATTGCACTCCACCCTTTTAGAACTATCTCTATCAGTGGGCTAGGTGTTTTTTGCTGTCGAGACTTGTGGCTGAGAGCTTAAATCAGCAAGGAACTTAGGCTCTATCTGGGAACCTCGGGAAATGTTAATGTAAACTGGAATTTTTCATTTGCTATAGGTTAAAAATGAATTACCTCTATCTACCTTACGCTCGCTACATATCTATCTTGCCACTACGGCCGTGGGAAGTCAGCAAGTTTCAGCCCTGTGATTTCCTTTTCAGCTGCCACTACCAAGGGCTCGATAAGGTCCTTCAGGCGGCAGTTGTGCCTAACGATAGTCCCAGGCTGTTCTGGGTTGTCTGCCGTTGAGGGAGGGGTCCCGGCATTAGACGCGATGCTACCAAATAAACCTTTAGTCCCAGCCTGCGAAGATACTTGAGGACTCTTGGGGTTCTGAGATGCAGTAGATGTACCAGAGGGGTCACCAGAAGAGTGAGAGGGGCGACCAAAGTTGAACGACGGCCCAGTGCTGGTGTTTTGAGCAGCACTCCTATGACCGAAAAGACCACCGGAAGGCTGAGTGAGCCCAGCGGCGCTGGCAGTTTGTTGAGGTGTTGGTGCAGAAGGGGTATTGGTTCCAGCTGGTGCAGGCTTTGGCTGACCCTGGACAAGACCAGATTGATATCCAAGAAGACCCCCAGAAACGAGGCTCGCAGATGTAGGATCAAGGTTCCATCTGCCAGAATAGTTGAGTAGAGGACCTTGGCTTTGCGGCCCAAAATAGGCCGGCGACTGCAAGTTGGCCAATGTTGCGAGAACAGCATCGAGGCATAGCTTAGGGAATGGCGATTGGGGGTGGGGGTACAAGCCAGACTTCTTCGCTCCTTGCAAGAGACTTCCCAGCAGCATGGCTCGACACGCTTCATTGCAGCCCACCTTGTCTGCAAGGATCTTGGTCTGAAGGCCTTCTAGCCCATCCACAAGACGCTGCAGAATGTCGATTCTCGTGCTTTCAATTTTATCTAAATCGTCAGTTGGTGTCACAACCTTGCACAACCTGACATACCAGAAACATCTGCCCGGATTGGCAGATCATACGTCGATACGACATCGATGTTGTGCCTTATAGCCATCTTGGTGTAGGTCTGGAAAAGCGACGCGTGCTCAAAGACGAACGATGCTAGAATCACCTGAGCCAATGGCTTATCCCTCAACTGTCCAGGCTGAAGCCATTCAACAGTCCATCCAAAGAGCCAGTTTGTGCTGAAAAAGGCTACAGCCTCATGACACTCTAAGTCGTCGACAATCGTCGCAATGTCGGATAATAGATCCAGCTTAACACTGCGGGGTACATTGCGTGTTTTGCCATGGATGATCTTTAAAACGAGCTCAAATGCTTCAGCGTCGAAGATGCCCTCGAATTTCCAGTGGTGGAGGCCGTCTGACTCGACTGAGGCCTCTTTGAACTGACTTGAGAAGAGTTTTGCTGCCCGACGACAGGCAAGAGTCAGATGCTTCTTGGAGCAAAGGAAACGCTTCTCGGTAGGAGAGTCTGGGGTCTCGGATTGGGTAGAGACAGGCTTGACTGGGAGAATTATAAGAGTATCGCCCTCCGGATCGATCTCAATGCGCGTGTTTGACATGTTTGTTGATGATTGAGCTGTGGTTGTATCGTGAATATTGGTTGAAGATGAGTTTCAGCTACTAGACCCACCTCACGTCGCCAATCTAAGGTCGACCCGCCAACAGATAAGAACAAGTGTCCACTTTAGATAAGCCAAATCAATCAGGGGTCCAATCGAATTAATATTACTTTTCATCCATCGTAAGCTACATATTCGTATACTGAACAGTCGTCGTACGTGTCTGCAGTATGCCGTCCTCACTATCATTATCCCCAGTGGGATTGTGCTCCAACGACTCATCCGACCGTCCACTGTAGATGTTTACGTCCGTCTTACCCATACCCTCAGGCCGCAGGCTAACTCTGTTGAAGTGAGTATCATGCTCCAGCTCAACGAGCGTATCAAACTTGCGGCGCGGTCCATTTGAACCACCAAAGGTATGGAGGCCAAAGTTGGCGCTTCCACTTTGCTCTTCACTGCCTTTTCGTGTGCTCTTGTCGCCGAGAACTCGAGGGGCGACGTTCTTGAGAAAGACACGAAGTGTTGGGAGTGAACCGCACATGATGAGAAGGTTGGCTTCGATGATGCTATCTGTGTCAGATGGGTTACACAAGAGAGAGTAGATGACATACACCCAGAGGCAACCCTCTGCCAACGACCAGCTTTGATCGGGATTTGACAAGCTGGGTAGAAGAAGAACCAGTCGGACAATGGACGTGATGAGAGTGATGGAACCGATAGCAAAGAGACCGACGAGACCAAGCTTCTGGCGAGCAGACATTTGTAGTCCGATGACTGTCGGGATAGGCAACACCAGCAACATCACGTCAGTGATGCAGCCAAAAGCAGCCTGGGTGATGTAGATGGGAGGGCGATTGATGCACGTGGCACCAACCGACATCCTCACATCCCATCCCGCAGCGATAGGCTTGCACGCAAACAGAACACTGAACCAGATACCGACGAGGCTAGCACTGCAGAGAAAGCCGGTAAAGTAGACCGAGTATTGATACCATAGAGACGGCGAGAGGCGATAGTAGAAGAAGCAGAGTGTCAGCTTGGAGAGGATTGTCGTCGGGATATAAGTCAGTGTTGTACACATGACGAGTAGATTAGCCTCGGTGTTGCTGTCGATTGGCATCTCCCATGCATGGACGCCGAGTAGTTTGCGACTATATGCATTGAGAAGACATGATTGAGCCGCAATAGAAAGGACCTAAATGGTTAGTAAACGTCATCCAAGAAGGCTGGCTCTCGTACCCAGGCGAAAAGAATTAAATCTGCAGCCAATTAGTGACATCCTGAACAAGGACACGGTGAACTTACAGTCGTCAATCAAGAACTTGCGCAAAATCACTGCATTCGTATACATCCGCTGTCCCAAAAACGCCGTCGCTATCGCAAACTCCATTCCGAAAATCCAATACGCATTCCTCACCATCGACGCATCAGTCAGAGGGTTCTCAAAGTCAACTCTGTACCCCGACGGAGGCGGCACCGCAACCTCGACACCATTGACGACAGGAAACGACATTGTAACAGTTGATCGAGAGTTGAATCCCCGCGTAGTGCAAACTCAGAACGACATGACGGGATGAAGTGGAAATAATGAGACGCAAAATCGTTAGGTGTCAACTTGGGCATCAAGTCGTGTAAATCTTTTAAGTCACATCGTCTACTCATATACAGCTGAACGTGATTTGATGATCACTACGCAAAGGGGCAGAATTTGCGTGAGGGAAAAGAGACGACAGAGACTTGACCGGGGTTGAACCTTAATTATTGGGGAAACGTCAGGCGAGATTAGAGGGAAGAAATAAAACGTCAAACTCGACGGGCCGTCCGGGTGGAGAGGATTAGTTATGCCGGCCTTCCATAACAAGCCTAGCTGGTCTGTTCTCACGGTAATTCCGCGCTGTAACGGACTGTGAACAAGGGCCATGACTCGAGATCAGGAGATCGGCATTAATCCCCGCCTTTTACAGTTGACTACGAGCCGTCAGCCCCAACTGCCGATGTAACGCTCGGATAATATCCCCTGAGGGTTGCAGAATGACTGTGCCGCTGATTGAGGGAACAATGGTTCCCCCCTGGAGACCTCGAGTTCACCGAGACTTTGGGTCGTTAATCCACTAATGGTGCAGACTTTGAGCTAGCTTTTAGGCATACCATCGATTGAGCTTAAGCTTGATTCAGCACTAACTTCTCGTCAATCGAGAGCCAGATGGGAATTGAACAGTCAAGTTGTTTCATATTTTATGAGAATTAGCGATCAGATAACCTGCACAACAAACTCTGTCTCACACATGGCTCTTCATACTGTCTGAGTGTCTGGTAGATGCTTGCGTCTTACTCGCCTGCCCGCATCCTCACCTATGGATAACCCATGTTGATCCCGGGGTCATGGCCGAAAACGATCAAGATCATCTATGCAGGATCAACCAACATGCATAATCGAGTAATGCCATGAATCCCTTACCAAATCCAACCTCCAGCCCATCTGACGAACCAATCGCATTCCCATCGCCCCCCAGCATTCGACTCCATCTGCGTGATTTTCCCCTAAAGAACAAGGGTCCACGAACCCGCCAGTTCCTCGGCCGCTTCTGCACAAGACGATCTTGCCCATCAACAAAAAGTACCCAAGTTCCCGCACAGACTTGTCCTCTCAGATCTTCTCTCCCCCCCTCAAAGTGACATCCCGTTTCATCGCAATCATGAAGACGAGTGCTTCGGTCTTGGCTTGGGCATCAGCCCTCCTCGCTGCTTCACCCGCCGTCGCAATGGAGACTTGCGTAAGCCTATTTCTGTCGTATTCAGGAGAAAAAGCAATGTCACTGACCTTTCGCGTTTCAGTGTGCCTCACTTGAAGCAAAGGGTCTGAAGCACGTTTACTACCCCGATAGCAACGGCTACAAGACCCGCACTGAGTCGTACTTTTCCGTGTCGTCGCAGCTGGAACCCTATTGCATCGTTCAGCCCGAGAGCGCCAAGGATGTATCTACGATTATCAAGACCTTGACGGCCGATACAAAGTGTAATTTCGCGATTCGAAGCGGTGGACATACCGTTTGGGCAGCGAATAACAGTGAGTTGGATGCTCGCTTGATTGAGTTTGTCTAATTGCGTGCAGTCAACGATGGTGTCACTATTGACATGGGTTTGTTGTCTTTGCTATTGGTTCAACGTGAAACTAACACACATAGGATTGATGAATAAGACTACGTATGTCAAGAATACGAAGGTCGCTCAGATCCAGGCCGGTTCCATTTGGCGAGATGTCTACGGTGCTCTTGAACCATATGGTGCTACTGCTGCGGGCGGTCGCACTTCGACTGTCGGTGTCGCTGGCTTCTTGACTGGCGGTGGCAATACCTTTTATACTGCCCGTCGGGGTTTTGGGTGCGACCAGGTTGTCAACTTTGAGGTTGTCCTCGGCGATGGGTATGTACACGCACGCTATAGCCACGCACATGCACTATAGTGGCATTTGCTAACGCTTCATTAGACGCATCGTCAATGCCAACAAGGACAACAACGCCGATCTATGGAAGGCCCTGAAGGGCGGCTCAGCCAATTTTGGCATCGTCACCCGCTTCGACGTGCAGGCCTTCGACGCTCCTCTCCTCTGGGGTGGCCTAGTCACCTACTCGGCCGAAGAAACAACCGATGCGCACGTCCAGGCTTACAAAGACTGGACCGATAACATCGTCAACTACCAGGATGGATCAGTCATTCCTTTCTGGAGTTATACTCCTCAGAATAAGAAGATTGGCATCACTGTCTCGTATGAGGATACCACTGGCGCTGTCGCCCCAAAGGCCCTGGACGAGTTCTGGAAGATTCCTTATGAGACCTCCAACTTGCGCAAAGATACTCATCGTAACATGACGATTGAGCTTGAGCTTGTTGCAGGATACCGGTAAGTCCCAGTCCCTCAGCTGTCTAAAGTCAATACTGACATCGTTAGCAACGTCTGGTTCGCCATCACCTTCAAGAACAAGCTCGGCTTGTACAAGAAGGCTCTGGAGATGCACAAACAGTTCGTCAGCGACTGGTTGGCTCAGTCCCCCGACGGTGACTTTATCTGCCACGCCATCTTCCAGGCCATCCCCACCATCTTCTCCAAGCACTCCCTCGAACGAGGCGGCAACGTCGTCGGACTTGACCGAGAGAAAGACAACGCTGTCATGTTCCAGGTCCAGCTGATGATCAACGGCGTCGAGCAGGAAAAGATTGCTCGTGAGCGCATGGTTCGCTTCCGCAAGACGATGAAGCAGTACAGTATCGACCAGGGTGCTGCTGTCGATTGGGAGTATCTCAACTACGCTGACTTTACCCAGGATCCTCTCTCTACTTATGGACCTAAGAATGTTGAGTATATTCGCAAGGTTGCTAAGAAGTACGATCCCAAGGGAGTGTTCCAGACTAGACTGCCTGGTGGATTCAAGATCTCGAAGGTTGCTTAAAGCATATTAGTAGTCTCCAAGTAGTATGAATACAAACATTATGCGTGATTCGTTTCAATTGATTCTTGAGCCGCATAATTACAGTGCCGTCGGTACGTGCCGCGCCTTCGCGTCAGCTCGCGTAACTCTTGCAACAGGGGTCCTAGCGCCAATGGTGATAGCGTGATACAGGGTAAGGCAATACTTTGCAGGTGATGACACGCTATGCCAAGTCGCAGACAACAGTTGTTTGAGCTCAAGTGCTAATTATTATCGAGGTTAAATTTTCAATCTTGCCGACCTTGTCATTACTTCAATCAGGTTAACTCAGTACGTTAACTCATCCTGTTCACAGATCTTATTAGACTAGAACTCCATCAGTAACACAAGTATTACCCTGAAAATCCAACCTGAATTACTTTACCATCGCTCCAATTCAATAGACCCACGCACTAGGTACAACTTAGATACTTCGGAGTTACCTGTACAAAGTGTAATAAGCATGTTTTTAACGTTATCTAGAGTTCTAAGTACCACTATCAATTGTTCTATTACTTTCGTCATTACTTCTGGAGCCCGATTTTGATTGGCCATGAGGAACATGGATGGCATTTTTGATTGGTGTTATCGTACAGGCAAATCCACTTCCCAATTGGAACAAAAAAGCGAGTTGCTGACATGAGATTTCTTGGCATGATGATGATCACTCGCATTCTGCACTTCTGGGACTCGGATTAGGGAACCGGGGGAACTCGGTATTGCCAAGAGATTCGCCGCGGCCATATTTCTCATTGAGGTGACGGAAACCTCGCGGATTCAGCCCGATAGTTCACGGATTGATGGAGGAGATGATTTGTGTGTGTAGGTATATATACGTAGATAGCGCCCGAGTCTTGCAACAAGTCCAGTTCAATAGAAACAAAAACGCGATAAAATGATTTCTACTCCCTTTGTTGACGTGATTGTAATCGGCGCCGGTCTCAGTGGCCTCTAAGCAGCTGTAGACCTCGACAAAGCCGGTCTCTCTTACATCGTCCTTGAGGCCAATGATCGGATTGGTGGCAAAACTCTCCCTGTCCCAGTTGCTACCGGCGGTGGACTGGTTGACATGAGTGCCGCCTGGATAAATGACAGCAACCAGGAAGAGATGTACGCATTAGCCCAAGAATTCGGCTTCGACCGTATCGTCCAGCGCACCGAAGGGCTGTCACTTGACAAGTCGAACGGAACGACGCATGCCATTCCCTATGACCAGTTTGGAGATGTAAGTTTTCTCCACTTCTCATGAACTTGACTAACTTCGGAGTTTACGGACGAGCAACTCGCCGAGATTCTCGCAATCATGACCAAGTTGCAAGAATATGTTGATCGGTCCAACCTTGAACATCCCCACCTCGGGCCTGACGCTGAGAAGCTTGACTCGATGACAGCTTTGAAGTTTGCGAATGAAGAACTTGGAGAAGGCATCGCGACGGTTCTTGTGACTATGTTAGCGCGAGATCTTCTTGGTGTTGAAGCAGATGAACTCAGTGCCTTGTTTCTCAACAACTACATCAGGAGCGGAACTGGTCCTGCAAACATATCATCTGACACAAAGGATGGCGGCCAATACCTGCGTAATCGCCAGGGCGAGTCCCTTGCATCCGACTTGAACTTGAGCTAAAAGACCAGGTAATGAGATGTTTGCAATCAAGCTAGCTGCGAAGCTCGACAGGAAGAAGATCAAACTCAACTCTCCGGTGGTCAAGATTATCCAAGATAAGAATGACTGTATTATTAAAACGAAGAGCGGTTACAAATACCATTCTCAGAAAGTAATTCTTTCAGTTCCGACATCTCTATATCCCAAGATCGACCTTGAGCCTCACCTACCGGCAGCAAAGAAAGAGCTTGCTCACTCTACTCAACTCGGCTATCACTCAAAGTCTATCTTGGTATTTGATGAACCCTGGTGGCGTAATTCCAATCTCTCTGGTGTACTGACGTCAATTGATGGCCTCATCTCATTTACTCGAGATACCTGTGTTCCTGAGGATAAGCAGTACAGCATTACTTGCTTCCATGTAGGCCAACCCGGACGAAAGTGGTCTCAGCTGTCAGAGCAGGAGCGCAAGGACGTAGTGATGAAGCAGTTCAACAACGCTTTTAGTACAGTTGTCGACAAAGTCCCTGAGCCTATTAACATCATTGAGAAGGACTGGCTCAAGGATTCTTGGTTTCTTGGTGGACCTAGCCCAGTGATGGAGCCTGGACTGCTGACTGGTGCCGGAAGATCTATCCGTGATCCCTTCGAGAACATTCACTTTATCGGAAAGGAGACCTATATTGTTTGGAAGGGGGACATGGAAGGGGCTATTACATCTGGCATTCGAGGTGCTCGTGAGGTTACTGAAGCGCTTGACGTGTCGCCTTATCTGTAAGCATCGATGAGAACCATTGGACGAAAGACGACATAGATGGCAGACAGAACTATTGCGAGAGCTCTACTATGGAAAGCCTCTACCTTTACCTTTTTAATTCCCTTTTCTCAATTATAACCTCATAGAAACATTTCTTAGTATTTTATTTGCTGGCTAATTTCTCTGTCGTATTCCTCTGCTGACAATTTCACGTGGTAGCTGGTATACTTTAATGCTAACCGTTAGAGGTTTTACACTCGACGCTGGGATACAAGTCCTTTACTTGGGCTAATGCTCTTATCAGAATTTTAATATTTATTTAGCTAAAATAAAGTAAAAGAGAATCCTACAAAGGAGTTCCAATGTTATTTCCAATCTCAGCTGTCAGCTTATTTCCAGGAGTGTGTATTATATCTCCCCTTACACCTTGTCCATTCTTAGCAAGAACGAAATCAACAGATGGGGAATCGCCTTGCGGAAGTACCGAGACAGTGATGGGAACTTGGAGAGAGGTCAGCTAATTTAATACAAGCCCAGCAGTGTTTCAATGCTAACTGTAGTGGTGGTTGAGGTTCAAGACCGTCATCCAGCTGTCTCTGTCCCGGACCGTAACAGGGGGTAAATCTTCATACGGACAGTCAATGGAGTAATCGGCTTCTTCACCGGATTGGTTAATAATATTAAGGATGTATAGGTTTGACATCTTTGGGCTTAGGCGTAGTGGCGATATGTAGGTGCTGTAATACTGCAACTTTGAGATAAAAGTTCAAAGGAATATGGAAAGTGATGGTGGGGAGTCTGGATGATTTATATCCTAACCTTAGGATAGAGCTATTGAATCTAATTGCCATGTGACAATATTGTCTCAAAAGAGTGATGCAGCCGGTTCCTGGTCTGGTATCGTATTCAGCCAGCCACTACTCTGTATTAAAAACACTAATATACTACACATACTAGAAATTGAGTCTAGAACACAACAAGATCGTATGTTTTGGCACCTAGTCTAAGGCGTAGCTGATGTGGCTAACGTGTTTTACTGCCCCGCACTACAAGCTGCTTGTCAGTCGAAGATTCGGAACTCTAGCGCTAATAATAACTGTACCTACAAAACACCGCTTCCGTTACCTATAAATCTAAATTCATCAAGGATTGAGGATGTTTATAAGCTATATTTGATAAATAATTATCCAGATTAATATCTAGTAGGGCAATAGATATTTATAAGTAATTAACTTGGCCAGTAAATATGTCTCCCACTCCATACCCCCCCCACTTTTCACTGGCTTATCGCTTATCGCTTGTGAAAAATGGTTATAATTGGCTATTTTGTGTACAGGCTGCAGGGGCTAGAAATGTATCGTGCATTGTAGATCACTACGTGCCGGTACCTCTAATTGGAGGGACTTACAGCTAAGTAGCAAGTACAGTACGTTAAGAGATACCTACCTCAAGACCACTTGCAACAAATCAGGATATCTCAAAAGGTAGGAATAACCTCTTTTTAACCTCTTAGATCTTCAGTAGCAGCCTTTGTACAGTACGGGACCACAATAGTACATTTCTAGCCCCTGCAGCCTGTACTCTTTAACCGCATATCCGTACCCCCGGTACCGAATGTACGTTGGTTACCCACTTTACTTTTCCATCTGTCGTTTCCGAAATTCATCTCCACTTCATTCTTTTCTCCAGGCTTTGTCATACTTGACTTTTATCTTTCCGTGGTTTATTATACTATTTCTCATGAGACTTCTCTCGGGATGACTTCTAACGTAGAGAAGCTGGCCTGCGAAAGCTGTATCCGCGGCCACCGTGTCGCTAAATGCCAGCATACTGGTGAGTACCCTGTGATGGCAGGGATCACCCTCCGTGACACAAACTCATGATAACACGGGACAGACCGTCCGCTTCTCAGAGTCAGCAGAAAAGGACGTCCGGTCTCTCAGTGCAACCACTGTAGGACCCTGCGCAACTCCCGATCTGTTCACACTGAATGCAAATGCGCATCGGCATCTCACCAGGCCATGCTGAAGCAGTTTGGACAAGGTTTGCTCCCTTCTGGCCTATCTCATCAAAGTTTATGCTGACTGTGTTCCGTCTCAGAGCGATGCTGCTGCGATGAGGGCGAGACTTGCACATGTGCACATAAGACAGGTCGTAGAAATAAAAAGGGCATTCAGTCGCCGCTCTCTACAGACAAAAGCTCAACACCGTCAGCTGCCTTGTCGCCTTCTGAACCTGGGGACAGGACTATAGAGACTTCCCCGACAACAGCTCGCTCATGCTGTGCCCCGGATTCGACACCCTCTCATAATACTACCGAAGCCATCGAACCAATCTCGACTCTGAATCATGGTATACCGAGTTCATGGAACCCTTTAGTACTGGATTCTTTACCAGAAACTTTCTTACAAGGTCCACAAAGTCTAATAGAATCCTGGGACCTAGCCCCAGACTTTGGCCTGAACCCTATGGCGATACCGACTTTTGACGATTCATTATCAACAGTGGGGCCATTTGATACGGGCAGTCTTTTCAACGATATCGACATCAGCCACATACACATCCCGGATGAATGGGTCGTCACGGATTTGACGTTGAATGAGTCTCACGATCCGGAAACAAAGCCCAACCAAATTTGACCCTGGGGACTTCCAATGCTCTCCCCGGCTGAATCGGTGATGGACAAGGTATTGAGGGTACCGTATCAATGCCCTAGGGCCTGCATTAAGATTTATTGATCATAGTGAAAGCTTCCGGGCAAAAGCTTATATCGGGATAAAAAGATATCGTGTTGTCATTCAACGCCTGTGTTTGCAGCCTAAAGCTTAACTTTATAAGCGGCCGTTATCCCTAGTCTCATACTATTGCTGTTGATAACACCATCAAGATCACGACGGTATCTTTATAAATAAGCATTACTCTATGATTACAATCTTTATCCTATATAAAAGAGAAGTTACTTATAAACCGGAATGTTATTTGTCCCCTAGATAGTAGAGAGTATATAATTAAAGCAGAGGCTCATAAGCAGTTAGCCGATATAACCAGAAGAGTATAGGACAATATATCGCTATATGATAAATATCCCTCCGGGGGCTCCTAGCGGAGGGCTCTCTCTCGCTCCGCTCGTGCGATGACGAGGGCATGTCGAATGGGTCCCTTATGTTCATTTTGGCGTGTGATTTACCTCTTTGAGATTCGGATATTAAATCCTTGGTTGCCCTATATGCTACTGCTGCTGATCACACCATCCGTCCGGGTTATACGTAGCCAGATTCTGAAACCCAGACTGTTCCCTCTGAAGTGCACTCAACTTCTCCTTCAAGTACTCCCTCTGGTTCTGATGAATCCTATCAAAGCTCAACAAAAACGTTACAAGGAATAAAAAGTCCTCAACTCTCGCTTCAGCATCTTGTTCTTCGCCTGGGCCAATTGGAAGGGCCAACACATCAGCCACGGTGCTCGTAATCTCAAACAGCTTCTGCAGAATCCCGGATCCATGTAATCCAATACTCTCAACCCTCTCCAATCGAAGGACCACATTGCGTAATTGGGTGGATAATCGCTGGGCGGGGAAATGCATCGAGAAACCCTCGTGAGAGTTTTGCGGTACTGCAGACTGTAAAAGGCCTTGAGATAATGCAAGCTGCCATACCAAAATTCTCATCCATAATCGCGTGATGAACAGGTCAACATGCTGAAGTTCTGTCAAACCCCAGCCACTCGACACCAACGCGTTGTCAGTTTCCGCAGCATCAAACTCATCCTGGTCAAGCTGAGCTTGTTTATGCTCAATCCACGCAGCAGTCATTTCTGGAGCCGTAGCCTGTGGATCCTGTTGAGCTCGCCAGTGAGCCAGAAACGTATCATCCAAGACGCGGAACAACTCAATCAGCCGATTGAAGCCTTGATTGACGTGGGGAGGAAGTTCATGGTCTGTGGCCAGGACACTTGGGCTGAGATGAGGAAGAATTGCGGGATGGCCAGCTACTATGGTAAGGAAACGTTCGTGGATGGAAATCTCGCAGTACAGACGTTGTCGTGTGGCTAGTTCGTGGTCGGTCAGTGAGGCATCCTTGTATCGATCTAGGTCGAGCATTTGAATCATCGCAATGGCTTCTCGGAGAATGACAAAACTGCGGTCGAATCGCTTGAAGGCCATGAAACAGATCTCCAGGAATACGCATGTGACAATGCGTTTGACTGTCACTGGTAATCTCCCCAGAATGCCAATGCCCATCTCAGACTGTCTATGCGCTTTGAAGCTCAGGTTCATGAGCTCTGTGATTCTAACAGGTGCTTCGCCCTCTGAATCCCAAGATGTCTGCGTCAGATTGATAGTGACAGCAGCGTATGCGTAGACAAGCGCCGCATCCTCAAAGCTTTGATCCATCCTCTCAATTGCAGCCACGATTTCTGAAGGGAGAAGAATCGGATTGACAGGAAAAACAACGCGCTCATATTCGAGCAACAGATTGAGAAAAAAGTCTGCGGAATACGCCGACCCAATACTCGTCGGTATCGCATTATAAGCGACAGGTGAAGGATCATCAGTCTGTGGAGAAGCCGAATTGGACCTTGCATCGTCAGGCCTCGTCCCCTCTCGAATCTGCGCTACCAATCGGCCTCGCACGGTAGGTCTTCGCTTGGAGGTTGCAGCGGAGTAGACGCATGCGAGGTTGAGGTGGCCACACTGCGAACAAGGGACTGAGCCGCTGCATTTTACTTTGCGAACGCGACATGGATCGCAGGCTTTTGAGATTCTTCCCGTCATTGCTTGTTGATTGAGGAATGAAGTGATCGAGACGAGATGCGGAGTCGAGAGGCACGAGATTTATCACGCTAAGGGAGGCTGTTGGTAGAACCCCACATCGCCACATGCAGACGAGCTGAGTCTAGAGCCAAGCCTCAACTGGAGAATTACTGGGGTAGTGTCGGTATTTACACGTCACAACAGACAGGCCGAAAGCTTGTCTTGGGCCATTGTATTGGCAGCTGGTATACTGCCCGAGATGAGTTTATAAGAATGTGATTTTGAGTTGATGGCCCTGACAGTTGATGCTCACATGTTGCACAGTATGCAACACAATGGGAGAGGTATTGAACACTTCATCTCTTCTCGTACTAACAAATTAACGCTATGATAGATATTCTAAAACAATACATGACAATTTTATCTCATTCAGCAACCTAGGAAGCACTGCTGTTCACCTTTTCAACATACATAGCACTAGCCTTTTCCTTGGTCTGGAACTCGGCATCAAGACGCTCAATCTCAGTAGTCTTGAACTGGCGAGCAGGAACTCCACGCTCAAAGAGAACATCGAGCTCACCATAGGTTCGGCCCTTGGGCTCAGGAAGGCGGAAATAGGTCCAGACAGCACAGAGGAAGCAGGTTCCAGCCCAGAAGAAACCGGCCTTGGCACCCCAGTTCCAAGCAGAAGGGTTCAACATGCGAGGAGTGATGATGTTTGTCATGATTCCGACAATATTATATGTGTTTCGGGCGAGGACAACAGTCTTGGTTCGGAGACGGGTGGAGGACAACTCGGCGACGAGAGAGTAGCAGACGGGTCCGACGGTCGAATCGTAGGTGAAGGTGTAGATGAGAAGAAGAGACCCGATGGTCCATTGAGCGGCGACGTTGTCACGGCCAGCAAAGGCGACACAGCCGATGGTCAAGAGGAAGACGCACATGGCAAGCTGTCCATAGAGGTAGAGGGTTCGGCGACCGAACCAGCCCATAAGGAACCAGGAAAAGACAGTACCGACAGCGCCAATGGCGTACTGACCGAGAGACATGGAGAAGCTGTTCTCAACAGCCATGCCGGCCTGCTGGTAGAAGTAGGTAGAGTAACCCATAAAGGTAGCACCGCAGAGAGTCTGAATCATCCAAGTAACACAGACAATCTCAGTTCGGCGAAGACTGACACCCTTGAAGAGGTCAAAGTACGAGGTACCAGACTGAGCTTCCTTTTCCATCTCGTTGGTGTGAACCATCATAGAGATGGTCTCATCCGGCTTAAAGTCGACATTGCTGTTGCGGACGGTAAGACGCTCAAGTGATCTCTTGGCCTCTTCGATACGGCCGCGACGAACGAGCCACCAGGGAGACTCGGGAGCGAGGTAGATTCCGATGATGAGAGGAACAGGCCACATCCACTGCAAAGCAAAGGGAATCTTGTATCCAAGCTCGTCATCGCGAGTCACCATGGCGCGCAGGACACCAGAAGCGATGAACTGGCCGAGAACCCAGCAAAGGTTGACGTAGGTGGTAAGATAAGCGCGGAGATGAGTAGGGCAGACCTCAGAGGCGTAGGTAGTGGTGAGGGTCTGGAAAACACCCCAGGGAATACCGATAAAGATCTCTCCGATGAGAAGCTGAACAAGAGTCTCGGAGAAGAAGATGATAAAGATGAAGCCGATGCAGCCAATGAGAGCACCGATGAGGGTCTTGCGATAACCGAAGCGATCAGCGATGATACCGTTGAGGAAAAGACCGATGATTTGACCGCAGAGGGTTCCGTTGGAGAGACCAGATTGCCAAGCAGCCGTCAGTTGATATGTGCCGTCAGGCTGCTCAACACCAAACTTCTTCTGGAAGGGAGGATAGGCAAAGAGGTTGTTGAGGAGGACAACATCAAAACCCTCCATGATAATACAGAGGGAGAGAAAGATGGACCAGAGACAAGCTTTTTTGTAGAGCTTGAAGGACTGTAGCAGGCCCATGTTGTGCTCTGCCTCAGTAGCAGCAGCCGCTTCATGAGCGACGTTCGCGTCGACTGGCACCGCGACGGGGGCGATGCCATTGTCAACCTTGGTATCAGAAGACATTGTGAGAAGAGTGATCAGTCAAGAGTAGACTGTAGAAGATGAGATGAGAGTGATGATCTGAATGTGAATCAGTGAGCGACACGCGACATCTTATAGTTGGAGATGATCAAGGAGTTGAAGCTGTCAAGAAGCGAAAGAGACGGAGAAAAAATAAGGTCATGGTACAAAGTTTAGACATAATTGCTAGCGCAAGGAGTCAATTTTCGCGGGGTTGGCCGTGATAGGACCGGTGCTAGACCAGAGTGGTCTAGAGACTCAAGGCAAATGAAGCCATGTCGGGCCGTGCGTTCAGCCACATTTGGAGGTTTGACTCTCTGGCCTGACTCTGGGGATCTACTCCTTGTATCACCTCCCCCCATGGGGAGACAATCATGCAAATCTGGGGTTCGCTCATCGGACCGAGCATTGACCACTGAGACACCAAAAGTGGCGGAGATCAGCAGACGCTCGTGAACCATTGAGAAATGAAGACCAGAGATTAGTCTCTGGGGTTCTCGTCGGTCCGGTCAAGGGCCAATCAAGATTCAGCCATGTCGTCGGTCCGAGGTTGGACCAATGGTGTTGGAGGCGGAGACTCCATTGACTTTGAGACGAGGATGGGTTGCATTGCAGGCGGAAATGTCTCGTCGGTCCGAGCGAATGGTGCGGGGGAAGAGACCATCGTGACCTGGGGAAGATGAATGCGGGTGAATTACCATCAGACAATATTTAAATCTACTCGGATCGTTCTCTCTTTGCATGAAACAGGCCCTGAATTAAATCATTTTTCATTTATTGCATCTTCACAATGACTGTCAGCAGACGCTCAAAGCAATGGTGGAAGCAGGCCATCATCTACCAGATCTACCCTGCATCGTTCTGCGACTCCAACGGCGATGGCATGGGTGATCTCCAGGGCATTATATCCAAGCTAGACTACATCGCCAGCCTAGGCGTTGATGTCATCTGGGTATGTCCCATGTACGACAGCCCGCAGGTCGACATGGGCTATGATATCTCCAATTACGAAGATGTCTACGCTCCATACGGTACCCTCCAAGACATGGAAGAGTTGATCCGCAAGACACACGAAAAGGGCATGAAGATTATGCTTGATCTTGTGATTAACCATACTTCTGACAAACACGCTTGGTTCGAAGAGTCAAGACGCAGCAAAGATAGCCCCAAGCGTGATTGGTATATTTGGAGACCTGCCAAGTACTCCCCAGACGGCCAACGTCTTCCCCCAAATAACTGGCGCTCCAACTTCGGTGGCGGTAGTGTTTGGGAGTGGGACGAGACAACGGGGGAGTATTACCTACACCTCTTTGCGAAAGAACAGCCCGATCTCAATTGGGAGAACCCAGAGACGCGTCGGGCCATTTATGCTTCCTCAATGGAGTTTTGGCTCGACCGAGGCGTCGATGGCTTTAGAGTCGACACCGTCAATATGTACTCCAAACTCCAAGACTTTCCCGACGCGCCAATCACCGACCCCAAAGCGAAATACCAACCTGCAGGTCTTCTTTACTGCAATGGACCCCGAATGCACGAGTTTCTCGGCGAGATGAACGAGATTCTTGAGCGATATGGAGCTATCACTGTCGGAGAGCTGCCTCATACCCCGGATCTGGAAAAGGTCCTTCGATATGTCAGCGCCAAGGAGAAGCAGCTCAACATGGTATTCCAGTTTGATGTCGTGGATATCGGGTTTGGCAAGACACACAAGTACGAGACGACACCAAAGAATTATACGCTTCCTCAGCTGAAAGACGCTTTTGGTAGAACGCAGAGTTTGATTCAGGGAACTGATGCTTGGACGACTGTGTTTATGGAGAACCACGATCAAGCGCGTTCTGTATCACGCTTTACAAACGACAGTCCAGAATACCGAGTCGCAGGTGCCAAGCTTCTTGCCTTGCTGCAGTCTTGTCTGAGCGGTACGCAATATGTCTACCAAGGCCAAGAAATCGGGTCCGTCAATGCCCCGAAGGATAGCTACCCATTAGAGAACTACGTCGATATCGAGAGTTACCAGTTCCTCGATATAGTCAAGGAGCGATCAAACGATGAACAAGATATCGACAAGGCCTTCAATGCTCTTCAGCACCTAGCTCGAGATCACGCTCGTATCCCTATCTGCTGGAGTGACGCCAAGAACGGCGGTTTTTCTGAAGCAGTAGGCGAAACTGCCAAAGAACCATGGATGCAAGCCCATCCTCTATCACGCGAAATCAACGTAGCATCTCAGCTAGAAGATCCAAACAGCGTGCTATCATTTTGGAAGAAAGCACTACATTTCCGAAAGGAGTTCTCTGATCTGATGGTATATGGAGATTATAAGCTTCTTAGAAGGGAAGACCCTGACGTTTATGCTTTTGTCAAGGAGTCTCAGGTTGACGGTTCCAAGGTTGTGGTTGTTTTGAACTTTACTACTGAGGAGAAGACGTTGAGTCCCCTGACGGGTGAAGAGCTTGGTGTTGGTGGGCAAGAAGTCAAGTTGGTGCCTATTATGTCGACACATGCTGGAAAGGAGCAGACTGGTGTCTTGTCGCCGTTTGAAGGAAGGGTTTACTTGGTTACTTAAGCATGGCATAGACATAAATAATAAGCGTTTGAAGTTACTCTTAGGTGCATCGTCAAATTTTGTCTTCGTCATCGTTATACATTGAGCCTATAAATAGTCATGGGGAGCGAGAAAACGTGGGACCCTCATATGGGGTATCAAGATAAACTCAGCAAAAGGTATCCTAAGTTCCTAACTCATACTAATTACCCAAGGCGAGTGACCATTTAAAATCAAGGTCCTGAGTTTCCTTTACCCCCCTAGTCTCATTACAGGACCCATCCACCTGCAGACCAAGGTTGTTCCCAAGCTTTGTGAAATCGAGCCAGTAAATCCTCCAACCAATCTCATCAAAGGCTTGCGCCACCGCCATCGATCTCCTGCTCCCATCATTCTCGGCTATGAGCTATCCCTGTAACTCTCTCATCCATCTGCGCATCCAAAAAGCTTGGTAGCTGTTCTTCAGCAGGCGGCCTAATCCACGATGAATCTTGACGCAGCGGTATCCTCTCTCCAGCCTCCAGAACAACATCTTGCGATTCCGGCCTATCGTCGCTCGGCTTCAATATGAGCAAATCAGATTTTCCTTCAGTCTTGAATCTTTCGCCTGCGATTTCTCCTTGTACTGACCATTTCAGTTGATGCGAAACACGGATGTTGTATATCTGGAATGAGTGCGTGAACTCGGATTGCACAGATGTCCACCGTCGGGGGTAGCCTGTTTTCTGGCCAATGCGCAGGTTAGTTATTTCTCCAATATCTATGGGTTGAGAATCGGCTGTGAATGGGATCCGTATTGTATCGCTACGCTGTATGATAGCCTGGCTGAGTCCAAGGTCGACCTCTGTGCTTTCTGGTATCTGTAACCCCGCATGACAGATAATCGTCGTAATCGTGATTACACTGACGTGTGCCGACACGAGCTTGACGTCCTGTACTTCATCTCGAATAGCATCGCTCGTTTCTTCCCAGTTCGGCGACACCAGGAGCTTCAATGGTATCGGTGTTGGGTTATCCAGCTGAACGACCTTCGGCACTTCAACGAAAAGGTTGAACGTCAACGTGGGATCCTTCGAACTATGGAGAGATTGTTTGATCTTGTCTTTCCAAGAGACCTTGACATCTTGCATTCCAGGAATAAGCCGATGGTTAGAAACTGTACGCTCGTAGTAATATCGTTTAAGCCGAAAGTCTGCAATTGGAGATTCTGGAGTGACACATATGACTTTGAAAGGAAATGTAGCTTCCAGTACTTCTTCATGACCTTGAACAGTCATTGTGATCTTTGCCTTGACCACGTACTCAATAACCGCTGCCATATTCTTCGTCCGAAGCATGTATGATGGTGGCATATGATTCACGAGACCCAAAGGTGTAGAATCATTGACATATTTCTGAAGTTGAACAGTAAACGGCCATTTGTGTTTGTGTTTCGATGACTCGATGTGTATAGGGCCCCGGAAGATGATCTTTGGGCGATAGCAAAGGTCGAAAAGGCCTCGGTACTCTTGAGAGTTGTTGCCGATGACCCCAATTGTTCTCCCTCGTCCAAACATGCAAATGCTGACAGATGCGTCTGGGCTTATCGTTTGAAACTGTCGAAATACGTGGCCGGTGATGATATCGCCTGGAATGTATGCATCTTGATCCAGGCTAATGCCCAATAATGGGCCGGACCTGAGAGCTGTATGGATGTTCATTGTGCGATAAACGGTGTTGGAGATCAAGAGGAGTGTCGAAGCTTAAGAAGAAGCTTTGGATGTATTGAAGTCACACAAAAATTGATGATATGAGGCACCTGACTGCCCCATGAGGCACAATGCTCAGACCAAGGCTGAATTGTTGGAAGCGTCCAATCGCAAGGGTACATGGGACCCTCTTTTGGGGGCCAAAGTGATGAGAGTGACTCTTGGCTCATGCCAAGCAATCCCCCTGACGTAGAGAGTTTCAGATTTTATCCCTCCAGGCTAAAGATGGTATAGGGTGTATCAGACGAATTTATTCAAGAATAAGCAAAACTTTCCATAACTTTCTTTTATATATCTGAGTCTAGAGCTAGGGGGCTCACGAGGTCATGCTCACTAATAGAAGAGAGTTTAATATTCCTTCCGCGGCGTAAATAGATCATCCCGACATGCTATCGGAAGCCCGGACTAACCGGAGTCTAGATGATTTGCGCCGTAACAACGCAACTCAGCAAAACAGGATGCGACTGTAATACATAGCATGCCTTTCAAAACTTGTAATATTGGCAATAATTTTTATTCTGGGCTTTCAAAAAGATCAAACAAGTATTTGTGATCTTTATTGTGTTAACATTGAAGGGCCAGTATATTGCGTTTGACTTACGGTTTGTTGATAGTCGGGAATAATTAATAATCATGAAAATGTCCATTAGATTTACATAATTCTGCCGGTTAAGGTCAGCCCAGAGAAGTGAGTGGGCATTATTTAGTATCAAAGCTAAAGCCTTGAATGATTATTAAATAGTAATAAACTTGTTAATATAGAGATTTAGGATGGACAGATACTCATGATTATTCTGTTATAACTCATGACCGGCAAGCTCTTAAAGATTGCGACTAATTAGTAACACAAATTCTTAGGAACTATATGTAATGCTATGATCTCATAACTCCGCCACAAACGCATTCCTCCACACAGCTGCGGACTTTGAACAGCTATAATTCGGGTAGAGAGCCCCACAGATAGAGCACTTCATACTGTTCCAATTAGTCTATGACGGAGAATTCGGGGCGAGTGCAAGCAAGCTGGCATTGATCTCCCTACCAGCCACGTATTTATAATCAGCGCCACGCTTTAAATTATATAACGTTAACCAAACTCCGAGAGAGATTAATAAAGAAATCCCCCAGCGGATTGTTATATAAGTCTATATTTAGAGACTGGATTTTTAGCTTTCACACGCTATCTCCTACTTGACTACTGACCCCAGATAATAATGTCGCTTCCAGAAACCTACCAAGCGTTTAGACGCACAACAGGCGAACTTCCGAGGACCATTGAACCGTCTACTGAAAAGGTACCGCGAGGGCTTGGACCAAATGATGTGTTGATCAAGATCCACGCCGTGTCTCTCAACTTCCGCGATGTTGCTATGCTGAACGGCCGGTATCCAGTGGAAGTAGAAGAGCAAGGCATTCCATGCTCCGACGCTGCCGCAGAGGTTGTCGCAATTGGATCGGCGGTCAAAGACTTTTCTACCGGAGATCATGTATCGGTCATATTCGATCTAAATAACATGACAGGCTTTGATAATAAATCTTCTTGTGCCCTCGGAGGAGACACCGCTGGAGTTCTCCGCGAATACGCTATTTATCAGGACAAGTACCTGGTCCAGCTACCCAAGTACCTTCCATGGGAAGAAGTAAGAGATAGTAAGCCCCAGAGTCCCACCTGCTAACACCCGTTCATCAAGGCGGCTACCATCACCTGCGCTGGTGTCACGGCCTGGAACTCTCTCGACGGCCTGATGACGGGATCCAAGGCTCGTAGCGCCCTGTTGCAAGGTATGATTCACATCAATCACGAGTCCACAATACTCAAAACATGAAACAGGCACTGGAGGTGTCAGCATGTCTGCTCTGCTGATATGTGTTGCGGCGGGCATCCAACCAATCATCACATCTTCATCCGATGAGAAGCTTGCAGCAATCAAGAAACTAGGCTCTCAGGTCCGTGGTATCAACTACAAAACTACTCAAGACCAAGTATCGGAAGTCAGTCGGCTGACAGATGGCCGGGGCGTTGATTTTGTTGTTAACAACACCGGCCCAGCATCTATCCCCCAGGATATCAGCTTCTTGCGCCAACGCGGCGGCACTGTATCCTTGGTCGGTTTTCTAGATGGAACCGGTGGTGATTGGCAACCTGCTGCTATCATGGCACTGATGGGCAAGTCTGCTCGAATTAAGTAAGTTAATAGCATCTTTGAACCTGGGAACGTGCACTGACAGCAGACGTTTTAGGGGTATTGCCACTGGCTCTAAGGAGGATTATTTGAGCCTGAATAAGTTCTTGCAAGAGAACAAGGTCTCCCTTGCTCCGCTCGTGGACCGGGTCTTCTCGTTCGAAGACTCGCCAGCAGCTTTTGACTATCTCTACTCCGGCAAACACGTAGGAAAGGTCATCATCAAGCTCTAGCCCGTATTCGCTGTTGGATCTCATGGACGGCCTAAGAGTACTCCACCACAGACTGTCTCACCGATGTATAAATAGGGGAATCAAAGACTGCTTGATGAGATACTGCCAGCGCCAATAACCATCCTTCCGTGATCGACTACCTATTATATGTATCCTAATATTGAAGATACCCTGACCTTCTGAAGTATCTGATGAGTCTTGATTTGCCGATTTAATTGTCTACCACAAAATGATGGATATCCCTCCGGGGGCTCCTGGCGGAGGGCCTTTTCTCGCTCGCTCGCGCGGGCGATCTCTCCACCAGGGATAATTTCTGCCTTGACATTCCAAGTACGGATATTCGCATGTACTCATGCCGCTAGGCCTAAGCAGACCACTTCACGTACGATTTGTCGCACTTTCGCCTGTCTAGACTTTATAATCTTCAGTGATATACACACATATCCCGACAATCCCGCCGTTGACCCGAAGGAATCCAATCATGAAACCAGCGGTTAATATGCGCTGATGAAACGCGAAGAAGAATTCTAGAATAAATCGCGCATAAGGTCATGTAGAAGCTGGGATCTGCATTCAGGACGTGCATATTCCCCGACGCGAGCATTATCCAGTTCGAGTTTTCATTACCCCTTGCCAAGGAAACTGATACGAGGATAATTGGGAAAAGCGGTCTTATCACTGAGACATTTATTGATTGAGGCCTTCTCCCATTCCTTGTTCAATGAGAAAGGTTCCCGTCGACGATCTGCTGATTGATGTCAGTGCATTGGGGTGACTTACTCGTGTCTATCCGGATTGGTCTGACATGTAGATCTTTGCCGGAGAGTGGTAAGCTGAAGCGCCGCACAAGCATGACTAGCCGGGTGAACCCTTTTTCAGCGTGCGTGGAATTTCTAGAAGGAATTAAAGTGAGCGGCATGACATAACTCGGCATAGTGGCGTAGTTCTACCGCGCGTATGCCGACACATATTCTGCTGCATATCTTGGTAATATTCACTTACCATGTGCCAAGTATGACAGTTTAAATCACGTCTGGGGAATATCCGCCTTCCCCATGGGGGCTCATGAGAATTCTGGTTCTCATCACTAATGAAAACTCGCCGAATCTCACGACTCCAGACTCGAGGGACCTGATTTCGCGAAGCATTTGCATTCGTTTGCATTTGTCTGGTGATTAGAGGGGATCAGGGACCCAAAAGGTGGGTTATTATGGAGATTTGACTCTGGTGATGGAGTTTGCCAAGACGAGAATGGAGATGGTTTAGTCATAGAATGATGAGCCCATAATATGCCAAGAATGGTCCAAGTTTGCCTCGCGTTCATAAGGTCTTCTACGATGATCGCGATATGAATAGGAGAAAATGAAAAGTACAAGAAAACAGAACGCCTCAAGTTTACCGATGCATTTCATCTGGACTCATCTCGACGTCGTGTTAACGTTGGCGGCTAAATGAGGCTCAAATTCCTAGACGCGTCAAGACACGGCACTGACGTCAACCCCGGCATACCGAGCGACAAGAAAAGCACAGACTCTATCTCATTCGGTCTAATTTCATCACTCGAAGCAGTCCAAGGACCCCAAGTCTTGGAGCAGTGCACTCTCTGGTTAGAATCCGACTGGCCCGGACAACTTCCTCTGTGGATATCACCTCAATGTCTCACTCAGAGTGACCGAGTCTGCCCGAAGACTTATAGACCGATGTGGAAACGTTTCATAGACCCCCATGGGGCTTCCGTGCCTGGGGCGATATCCACCGAGGAATGGAGTCTAATGCAGCCTTGATTTCAGCGGCGATACTTGGTGCGGGCCAATCAAGATATCCTCTTCCATGACGTCTCAGCGTCTTTTGCCCAGCCCCTATCCTGTCGGACCATCGCTGCGCTATTTTGTACATATCGTGAGGCGAGTGGTATAAAGCTAGGGCAAATTCCACTTGTATTTGTTTCTTCATTCAGCTACTCTACATCATAACTCGTCAATTGTCTGGGTACAATCTTTCAACAACATCAATACAGTAAACATGGAGAAGCATGACGTCGCCAAAACTGCTGGACAGTTGCATGATCCTAGCTCTGATAGCGATGGTCTCAAACATGAGATTAGCTCTCAGGAGGGTCACGGCCATGACTTCCAGACTGTTCAAGAGTCTGCTGACAACACCAACATTTATTCCCAAGGCGGCAAGAATTTTCGTACACTGAAGCGATGGGATACCATCTTTATTCTCTTTGCCAATCAGATCGGTCTAGGTATCTTGTCACTGCCCTCGACTCTCAAGACCCTCGGCCTCGTTCCGGGTATCATCGCCCTCATCGGCATCGGTGTCATTTCGTGGTATACAGCCTATGAGTTGTTGCAGTACTACAGATTACACCCCCAGGTGCTGAACATCGTTGACATGACCCGCTTCGTGGGTGGAAGAACCCTGGAGAGTATTGCAGGTGCTATGATGATGATCCAGGTTATCTTCGTCGCTGCCTCAGCTATGGTCACCCTCTCAATTGCCCTCAACACAATCAGCAGCCACGCGGCCTGCACAGTTGTCTTCATCTTCATCTCTTGCGCAGCCTGTTACGTCTTCTGCATCCCTCGCACTACCAAGTTCGTGTCACATCTTGGTATCCCCAATGCTCTGAGCGTTCTGGCTGCATGCATTCTCGTCATGGTTGTTCTTGGTATTCAGGGTCCCAAGGGTGTCGATAACATGTCTGATTGGAAGAGGGAGATTGTCATTGTTGGGAATCCTACTTTCCGCGACGGTCTGAATGCTTGCCTGAAGATTGTCTTTGCTTACGCTGCCAATCTGAGCTTTGTTGTAAGTAAACCCCATACATAACCATGTCCCATACTAACAGACATAGGGCTATCTCGCTGAGATGACCAACCCACTAGAAGACTTCAAGTTCTGTCTGACTGTCCTTGAATGCGGTTCCATGACAATGTATGTCGTTTTTGCCGTCATCTTCTACTGTCTCGGAGCCGAATACACGACCTCTCCCATTTTGGGATCTACCTCGACGACCTTTGCAAAGGCTGCTTTCGGTATCGCCCTCCCCGCCATCTTCGCTACTGGCCTCGCTTACGGTCACATCGGATCCAAGTACATTTTCGTCAATGTCATGAGATGGACTGGAAACCTCAGCGAAGTCACCTCCAACTCTGTCAAATCTTGGTCAACCTGGATCGCTTCCGTCACGGGCTTCTGGATCGTTGTCTTTATTCTATCCAACGCTATTCCTGTCTTTGACTCGATTCTTTCCATCACATCCGCGACGACAATCTCTTGGTTTACTTACGGTTTTAGTGCCGTCTTTTGGTTTCATATGAACCAAGGTCAATACTTCCGTGACTGGAAGAAGATCTCTTTGACAATCGTCAACGCCCTCCTTATCATCATGTCACTTTTTATGAACGCAGCTGGTCTGTGGGCATCCATCACTGAACTTCTCGACATTTTCAACTCTGATGGTGGCGTTCGTGGTGTTTTCTCTTGCGGGGATAACTCTTGATGTTATTTACCTCTTGTACTATAACTTCTTTGAAGTAGCGTTTTCTCAATTACAGCAATTTCGTCGTTCACTGACTCCGTCTATCACTCATCGGAGTCTAAATTGGTTGTGATGCGTAGTATGGTTTGTGGTCATCCGATTGGAGGAAATGGTAATTGCTCCGTGTATCCTGATTTGATGGTGATAGATGTGTTATTTACAGTTGAGGCTCGTGGCTTAGAGCCTAAATTAGCAGACAAAACTTACCTTAGGGACCATGCGATGCCATCTTTGGTCCATGAATGGGGAATAAATTAAGCGTAAATAAAGTTCCAACTCCGCCAACTTCCAGTACCTTCTGGACCCTAAATCCGGCAATAAATTGGCAGATAAAGTACCGAAAGGTGCGCCTTGGCACAAGCGAAAATAGGTACACGACAGGGTTTGGTGCGCCCTTAATTGACATTAAACTTCCATAGGTAAAAATGCGCCTTCTGGATGACATTTGTTATACCCACGAACAAAAAATAAGGAAGAGCAAGCCTATATATAAGCCATAGAATTTCGTCAGAGAGTTCAGCGTAGAAAAACCATCATCTTTTCCGTTTCTCTTCACCAAAATGACTCGCAACGCTTCTTCCCCGCCTTTCACCATTCGAAGCCACCAACCCGGTGACATGGGGTACATAACCTACAGGCACGGTGCAGTGTACGCACAAGAATACAGCTTCAATTATCGATTCGAATCTCTTATTTCAAGAATAACTGCCGATTTTCTCGACAACTTCAAGCCCGACCTGGAAGGCTGTTGGATTGCTGAGAGGAACGGGTCATTCCTCGGCTGTATCATGTTGGTTCAAGACAAAAAGCCAAAAACTGCAAAGCTACGACTCCTATTGGTGGATGAAAGCGCAAGAGGTCTTGGTGTCGGAACGGCCTTGATCCAGAAATGCATCGATTTCGCAAGAGAAGCTGGGTACGAACATATCGACCTTTGGACGCAGAGCATTTTGGAGGGCGCGCGACGACTGTATAGAAAGGCTGGGTTCGAAATGATTGAGACGCAGAGTCATAATGATTGGGGCGTGGAATTGACAGGGGAATTCTGGACATTAACGCTATGAGGACGAATTGGGGCGATGGCTGGGTGGGAAAGCACTAGGCTTGAAAGGGCGATCATTTAGAACGGTGGCACGAACACGGGGTAGGCGTTTTCTCAATTCATTCACTGTGCCGACGCTTTCATCGCCGTATTCCCGATCCCGAAGATCATTTGCCTCGCAGGATCGCACTCATAACTGTTCGTGTGATGTCGATGACTGAACCTATAAAAGAACTGACAACTAAGTACGAATACCACCAGGAATGCTCGAATAGACAGGAATTTAAACCAAGGAGTCAGTCCACACAAAGCTGCTCTGAATGCCACCCTGAGGGCGCGCCTTCCTCAACCACTGCTACGCAGTTGGGAAGCCCACGTGGCAGACAAGCTTAAACAGCGACGACCAATGGTAGAGACAGCGTCGTCCAAAAAGGGAATATGCACTGAATGGGAAACTCTGGATGACAGTTTCGAACGGAGAAGAGCCGAAATCACTACATTGTTAGTATACCGGCCAGATTTGTTAACCTCAGGCTGGCGTGAATTTGTAGTATAAATAAAATAAAACCACCGCTTCGCCTGATGCAATAAAGACCCTCAGTCCCCGACACTCAATGCTATAATTGCTATCATTATGTATCGTTGCCAAACCAGTATACTCATTACGCCGACTCGCCAGTTTCCAGACTATAACATTGGTTGCCGTCTCGTAATCAACGATTGAGCTTATCTAAAAGGTCTATAATCAAGAGAAAAACGACGATTGTACAGCCTGTATCCTCTCAGACAAGACTTGCCAATCCCTTAAGTGAACTATAATTCTGAGCGCCAATCTATCCATATATTGCGCATTTCGAGAGAGCAGAGTGAGGGCAGCTTCCTCTTTAGCGCCTAGCGTCAATTTCAACATCGGCATAGCCTGCCTTAACTATGAACTGATTCGGAGTGAAAAATGCTTTAACAATTTGCCTCGCCCCCCCAAGGGGGAAAGCTAGGGTATTAGAAGTGGGCAAGCGTTTCCAATTCCTGACGTCTCGACGCTCTATTTGGGAAGGGGCTTTCGAATCAGGGCCAGATCGTCGCTGTTGGCTTGAACGGCGGTGAGATTGTCTCCAGTTACTGGCTGATTCGAAGTAGACATATGTTTCGTGTAGTTGAAGCTTTGTCTTCCATCATGATGCGAGTAGATTGAAGTGTTTGAACTTCTACGAGATCATCAGGACTGATAGACCGAAGACGAGTCACTCCCTTGACGTAGATGTTGATGGACTAGTAATTCCAAGGTGCTCCTGGGTCTTTTGAAGTTTGGCGACTGGCCTTTAAACCCGTGTTCCAGGCTCTTTGTTAGTGTTGGTGTTTTGTAAGTAGAAGCCACTAACTCACTCAGTTTGTTGATTTCTGTTCGACCATGCGTGATAGACGTTTTGGGGATATCCCCATATGATGATATCAGTGCTGTCAACTGAGACTTGTTTTTGTTTGATTCAACAGCGACTAATCTATCGTGGCCTTCATCGATGGTGTGTTGAGTTACACTTGGTCCAGGAGGATTGAATTGTCTTCCTTCAGAATCGACTAAATTCCCCTTGGCAATAGCCGAAGAAAGTGAATGATCCCCCGGTAGAGTCTTGTCTTCAGCGTCAAGCATCGTATCAGCATCTCCCATGGAAAGTAAGAATCGAGGGTTTGATGACTGGGTGGGTAAGGACTGGACGCTAGAGTTTGAAGGATTGAAGATACCCTGTGGTTCCGAGTTGCAGTCCGGCTGGTCCATGGACTCGTGAAGGGATTTCAGTGATTCTTCCGAGTCACTCTTTTGTAAATTGCCCTCTTGTTGCTCTTCCTCTAGTTGCAATTCTGGTGATTTTGGGAAGTCTAGAGAAATGGGAATATCATCAGGGCTCTCGTTGTTACTGGTAAGTATGACATCCGAGGTAACAGGCTTAGGGCGGCTCGATTGATAGCTATTCAAGGTATTGGGAATATCTGTTGTCTGATGGTCGAGCGTAGACACAGCTAGTGAGATTGAATACTTGGCGGAACTGGTAGGAAGTTCATTCGGTTGAACTTCAATAAAATATGTCCTTAACTGGTACTCGTCCCAGTCCTCCAACTGTGATTGCTTCTGAGTGACAAAAGCGCTTCCATCATTTAGACACAGACTTTTTCTGAAGGTGTCAGTCTTTGGTTGAAGTATGGGAAACCGACACGAGAATTCTGAAATAATAGTACTCGTTCGGAAAGGCTCTGATGGTAGAAGATTGATCATGACATCGGTGTCTTTTTGTAGTTTTCTTTTTGTCTTATTTAAAGTAGACTTCTTAAATAAAGACGTTAAGCGGTTTAGTGACCAAGACAGAGAACTTGGTTTTCCACTTGGGCTATTTATACAGGTTGTTCTTGTTTTTCGATATTTAGGCATAATGTTAAAACCAGTAATATAATAAAAGAATAACAGAAAAAAGAAGATAAATTTATTAAGTACTGCTTAGTAATATATAACTAAAGTCAGAGTATAACTAGTTATTGAAATATCTAGTTATTTTGTAAAACGGGAAAGGGATATTAATAACAGCTGCCTCCTAGAACCCTGATAAAGCACTAACTCTTCAGGCTTTGCTTACTAAAGTTATATTATTCGTTTTCCTTTCATCCCTTAAGGGTTATCTAATAATTAACTATCCTCATAGAGAGCATTATTGGTTTAAACCTTGTATATCCCTGCAGTAGTATCCAGCTTCCTAGTTTAGTGTAAACTCTATTAAATACAACTCAGCTGTTCAGTAAGAGGACCATGTTGTACCTCTAAAAAAGACAACCTAAGAAACGAGGCAGAATGGCTAAAGAAGTTTCATTGGCAATCCGGGAGAAAGACTACTCGGAACTGCATACGAGAAATACCAAGGTTTCTCATGGTTGGTGGTCGACTCCGAACGTGCGCTGCGTTTTATTGCCTGCGATCTCCTAATCGTCCCTGAACAAAAGGTCATAAACGGGAAGGATTAAATGGAAAGCTACTGATTATATAGAAGAATTTGAGAATATCAATTCATTAGATATATAATTTTGTATTTTTTATAGTCCTAGCAATTTGGGCCTCGACTTGGTGATAATTGGAGTACACACACTTCGGCTCTTATCATCTTGGAGCTTACGGCGATCCGCCCCACTGGGGCTGTGTTGGGTGCGCGGTGATGGGATACAGCCTGATGATTATTGGGACGGGTAGACATGTTGAATAGAGAGTCAAGGGGAAATGAATCGTAAAAACGGTGGCTATTGGATGACTTCGGGGCTTACGATGTGATGCGCGAACTTGTTTCGGGGAACCCTCAGAAAAGCGTTGATGTGCAACAGTGAAAGCCTTCTCTACCTTTCTCATTTTTGTGGACGGCTTTTCCTGAAGCTTGCAGTGGCAGTGGCAGTGGCGGCCACTTCAGGCTTTGATTGGGTGAAAGTGTGACTTTCAGTGGTCACTGGTCAACCCAGCTGATTGCACGGTAGCGCGAAGCATTCGATGCGACAAAACTGTTTGCGTACCAAGTGGGAAGCCAGTCAAACGAACCATCACCATGACACTTTACAAGATCCAAAACTCTCATTCACACCGCCAGTCTGTCGTAACGGCAAAGTGATGTCGGTAGTATCAACATCATGATTTTAACCTATACCAGTACAAAGGACGAGAGCACAAGCATGAAGAAACATGATTCGGCGAGTGGAATTTGTCTACGAAAGCTTGACATGAACAACGCCTGCCATTCGTTCCAGGATCAAGGGCTAATGAGTGCAATAGGGGACACAAAAGCTTAAAACTACGCCAGCTGGCAATTTTGAGGGAGGATATAAGTAACTTTAGCTCAACGAAAGCTTCTGTAATAAATAATAAACCTTTTTACAATTAAACTTTCAAAGCTTCATGCATCGAAATGAGTAATAAGTATAAATATCCCCCAACTCCTCCCTACAAAGACACTATGCTCCGCAAACATCATAGCCAAACGGGAAGCTCAATCAAGCAACCCTTCAATATGCGGTTTATTTCACTCGCTATTTTGGTCCAGAGCATCTGGCTTTGCGCAGCTAGGCCTACAAAGCTTCAACCAGCTACATTGATAACAAACGTATATGAGATGTTCGACCTGAAAGATGTGGTCGGAGCATTGAAGGATTGGTTCAAGCCCAAATCCACTGTTAAAGGCAAGAACATCGACGACTTACTCTGTGGCGACGATTCAGAGAAGTGTGATCAATGTAAGGAGCCCAGATGTGCGAAGAGAAGCGTGACTAACTTTTGACAGGCGCTTGTGACTCAAAGACCTCTCTGGATAAAGGAGGCGTGTCTGACTCGGGCAAGGTTGATCAGAAGGTCAACGGTACCGCGTCAAATAATACCAACGGGGATAGTAAGAACAAATCCAAACCAGACGTCAAATCGAACGAGTCAAATCCCAAATCAAACAACACCAATGAGCGTAAGGAAGTTTTGGAATGGCATGACAAAAGATGCTTCGGTCCACACCAGTTTGGCAAACACAAGGATATCTACCCTATCTCGCAACAGAACTACGCCGGCTTTGCTTGTCCGGAAACCGAGTCAAAGATGATCAAGAAGGATGACAACAGTACATTCATCTCGTACCAAAGATGGATATACGGTGCGCCTTACCTATACAACGTCTACTGGAAGGACTTCTGTGAGCTGGAGAACGGCAAGACTGAGCAGGATGTCACGGATCCTTTGGAAGAGGGATACGAACCCGAATCGCGTATATGTCAAGAGACTCTTACCAAAGCCTACAGGGGCTGCAATAATGAGGGAACAGGCGGTTCGTTGCAGGCGGGGTGTCTAGTGTACGAGTTTCAGGCTAGGGATAAAGACCAAAAGGCTGTTCCTTTGCCTTGGATGCGCAGGGGGGGATTCCTGTTTGATTAGGGATGCTAGAAGGACATCTTATGTCTACGATAAGCTGAGCATCCGCAATCAGCAACGCGAGGAATATTGCAACTAGATCAAAGCTTGATGCAGTTGACTGCCCTTTAATTTTTCCATCTCCTGATCATCCTGAGGCTCCGTGAAAGAACGTTAAAATGCAATCCTCAAGCGCACCCAATTAGCCAGGGGGATCGCTGACACCAAATCCATGCAGCACCCCACCTGTCACCTGACTTTCGCACCATTGACATCTGCTTAGCTTCTGGTGAATGTCCATCAGTAGGCCTCTTCAACAACCATGTTTAGGACAAAGCTCATCCGGCAATGTCGCCGTTTTCGACACTCACCCGGGAGATTTCCCATGGTATTTCACCCACGCCGTTCAACTGCATCAACTCCGAGGTCGTCTCGCACCTTTCCCTCGAGTGGCTTCGAGCGGATTGACTCATCTTCATTGGTTGAAGAGGAGAAGCTGCCATTTTATAGGCGTCAAGACTACTACCCGATGCGAATTAGCCAGAATATTCAACAGAATTATCAAGTGGTTGCAAAGTTGGGCTACGGCACCACTTCAACGGTATGGCTATCTCGAGATCTTAGGTACGCACCATGTCACTTTGGTACATCATGTGCTGATTTTGACGTAGGGATGGAAAGTTCTGGGTACTGAAGGTTCACATCAATACACTAAAACACAATCAAGAGTTGGTTGTCTATAAACACCTATCTACCCTCAATTTGGAACACGCAGGCCGGCAGCATGTACGAGAAGTCCGGGACACATTCAAGATCAGTGGTCCCCACGGCGGGCATGAGGTTTTTGTTATGCCGCCGTTGGGAATGAGTCTTAGGACTCTACAGGAATTGCAGAAAGGCAATGTCTTCCAGCAGACTCTTGTTATCTCTGCCCTCGATCAAACATTGCTAGGGTTAAACTATCTGCATGATGCTGACATTATTCATACCGGTAACTTTAACCCCACCTCCAAAAGGATCCAGCTGACAGCGCAGACATTCACTCAGACAACCTTCTTGTCGCACTAACAGACGACTCAATTCTCTCGGCCGTTGAGGACAATGAGCTTCACCGGCCCTCAGCACGAAAGTTTGTCGACGACACAGTCATTCATGTATCGCAATACATGCTCGGAGGTGCTGGGGCACTCACAATCTGCGATCTTGGACAGGCCCGTATCGGCAAGGTGCATCGCGGTAATGCAATGCCGCTGCCGTACCGCGCTCCAGAGGTCATTCTCGGCATGACCTGGGGTAGTCCTATGGATGTTTGGAGCGTAGGACTCTTGGTAAGATACTTCCATCCATTTCCCAGCGGGACTGACCTGACTAGGCCTGGGATCTTTTGCACAAGAAAGGTATCTTCGGTGTATATGACAAGTCTGAAGAACTCAATGACGCCCATCATTTAGCAGCGATGACTGCGCTCCTTGGGCCACCGCCGAACGTTTTTCTTAGGAGGAGCGACAAGACGCGCAAGTACTGGGATACTGAGGGTAAATGGCACGGTCCTGTTCCTCTCCCGTCTGAGGGTAAACTGAACTCACTGGACACAAAATTGTCTGGAGAGGATAGAGACCAGTTTATTGACTTTTTGGCCGGCGTACTTACCTGGCTCCCGGAGGATCGGCTGAACAGCGCTGAAGCATACTTTCATCCCTGGTTGAGAGGAGATGGTGTGGAATAGTAATAGCATAAATGGTTTCCCTCTCTTCAATCCCGCATTGTTTGCCCGCTTAATGACGTCCTCTTTGGAGTCAAATCGTTTGATTGTCGCCATGGATTGAAGTTTATTAGCCGTAGGATCTAGGTATTCTCAGACGCATCAGTATAGTCAGTGGATGCCCCTCAAGACGAAAAGCCGGAAGATAGGGTAACTTACGTTCGTGGCAATGAGAATTGGTTTGTCTATTTCTCCAACCCCGACTGTGTAGATCAAATATCGACGGTAGACCCATTCCGGAGTGTTTGCGGCATTTTGTCAACGGTTCGCAACCTTCCAACAGCAACTTGAACACTGGAAAGTAAGTAATCTTCCATGCAGCGAGCTTTGATAAAGCAACCTAAATCGATTATCGAGCTTTGTATCTAGTGGTGCAGGTGCCGAAGTACAGAGGTAGATCTGGAGGGGTTGTCGGATCAATCGGACCAAGCAAAGCCAGATGCTATGCCCTAGCCGATGCTCCAGAGTCCTTTGCGTTATGGTCTCAGTGAATCAGAGCGCGCGGAGACTCACGAAAGTGCTTTTTTTTCTACTCCACAACCTTTTCTTCTTCTCTATCAACCTTCACACCAGCATCGCAAGTGCGTAATTTGAT